GTCCATTCCCAGAAGCCAGAAGATGCCCTTAGGATCCCCTGGAGCTGGAGTTATATGTGATGCGAGCCACCAGATGTCATGGGTGCTGGAAAACAAGCCTAAACTTGTGCAAAAGCAGTAAGAACTCAACTCCTGAGCCATTTTTCCAGTACCAAGCAGCGGATTCTCTAAGATGAAATATTTATGTATGATTATAGAGTATATAGATATGAAGTATCTTCATTAATACATTCCCATTTATATGAATTGCATATACTATATTTTTTTATCATATTCTTTCCCAACTCCTCCCTGCTCCATACTCCCCTAACTTCATGCCCTCTCTATTAAAAACAGACTGTGACAACATGCAGAAGTCCTGCACAAGCTCAATCCAGACAAAATCCCAGCTTTAAGGAGACATTCTCACAAATTTCTACCCCTAGCCAAGAAGCTTTTTGTAAACTGAGTGTTATCAACTACACTTCACGGCAGGTCCCATGCTACTTAGCATTGCAGCTGATTCTTACGTTTTTGGTTGCGAGCCTAGCCTTTAATGGCTAAGCCATCTCTCCAGCCCCATTGCAGCTGATTCTTGAGTAAGTATATGGTTTCCTTATGGTGTTAGGTTATCAATTTTCTTTTCTTCCAGTTTACAGTTGGCACAGTATTCATTATAGCTGCCAGTGGAAATTGAGAAATACATTATGTGTAGCTCATATTTATCTTTACTTTTACCTATGCGTCAATCTGTGTACTATGTGCATACCTGGTGCTCATGAAGGTCAGAAGGGGGCATAGGATTCCCTGAAACTGGAGTTATGGATGGGTGTTAAAATGTAGTGTGGTTGCTGGGCATTGAATCTAGGTCCTCAGAGAGAACAAGTACTCATAACCACTGAGTCATTTCTCCACACTACTTTGTTTGAATATGCATGGATATAGAATCTTGATATTTTTTCATTATTGTACAGAATTAAGAGATGGTAAAAATGTCAAAGTAACAGTTTATGTGACTAAAATGTTTGTTTTCTGTAATTAAAATCAATGATTTAAAACAACAAAAACAAACAATGGTCCTCACCAGAAAACAATCATGCTGAAACTCTTCTGTCTTCCTGGCCTACAGAACCTTGCTACTGTGATTTTCCTTTTCTAAATTTACTTAGTTATATGGCATATTAGAATGATTTTGAAAAAAAAACAACTAAGCACCTTTTAAATGTATTCCACTTATTCATAATTTATTTTTAATATATTGGCGAATTCTATTTGCTAATATTTTATGAAGGATATTTACATATATGCTCACATTGATTTCTTTGTACTATCTGATATTGGTAACTGCAATATTAGCTGAACAGGATTTACTGGAAAACCACCACCTACTACTCTTCTATTTTCAAAAGAACTTGTGTAGAAATGTTAATTTTTGAAAGACTTCTTACAATTATCTAGTAAAACCATCTGAGCCTGAAGATTTGGGGGAAGGAGTTTGAATTAATTTTCTTTAGTAATTATAGGGTCATTCCATCTTTCAATGGCTGTCATTGATGGGATTATCAGGTCTTTTGACAAATGTTAAAATTACTTATCTTCCATTATCTCATGTTTTAAATTAAGTATTATGTCCTAAAACTAATTATGATTGCATACCTTCTCAAACTACATATTTACAGAAATTCTGCTTATCCCTGAAGTTATAGCTACAGTTAAATTCCTTAAACTTTTCTCCACATACACCTATCCCTAAGACACTCCACAAAATTACTTAGTCATTGAGCAAGACTTACACTTCAACTAAGTTCTGGAAAGAGAGTAGACTGAAATTAAGGAAATTGTTACCTTCCATTTTTAGACAGAAGCCTCTGAACTGATGGGATCTCCTGCTTATACTGGGTAGTAAGCAGATCAAATCTCATTTCTATTCTCTGACTTGAAGCTGGTAACAGTGCTTTACCCTTTCAGAGATGGTGGGAATCAGTAGCAAAAATAAACTAGCCCACTATTCCTGCAGAGATTCTAAAATCCTCCACTGTCTCATTTTCTATCAGAAGACATCATTCCCTGTGTGCCAGACATTTTTCTCTATCCAAACTGTTCTGATAGTAAGAATCTGATAGTGAGATCCTAGTAGTAGTCATTTGGATGAAATAGATGTGAAACCTTGAAGAGAAAAAAAAATCTTAAATTGGGTTCAAATTTATATTAGATTCTTGAGACAGGGCCTCTCTATGTAGCTGTGTTTGCTCTGGAACTAGATATGTAAACCCAGGTTGGCCTTGAATGCACACAAATCTGCTTACCTCTGCCTTCCAAGTGTGGGGATTATATTATGCTCAAAATTTTCCTTAACAGATGATGGACAGATACCAATAAGCCTGCCCAGGCCACAGAACTCAGTCAGGGTGTTGGTGATTTGGAAGTAAGGTTCTTCTCCTTCCTTCCTTCTTTCCTTCCTTCCTTCCTTCCTTCCTTCCTCCCTTCCTCTCTCCCTCCCTTCCTTTTTTAAGACAGGGTTTTTCTGTATAGCCCTGGCTATCCTGGAACTCAAATCTGTAGACCAGGGTGGCCTTAAACTCACAGAGAACACCTACCTCTGATCACTCTGGAGGTATTCCTCAGGATACAACTGTCTGTGTTACACGGTGGACACACAACAGGTAATCAATAAATCTATTGGATTTGAGGTTCAAAATGATTTTCTAACACACTGAAGGAGAAGGATGGGTTTTGGAACCAGGCAGATCCTGCTGTGGAAGACCACCAGCTGATTTCAGTATTGTTAACTAAAAACTAGGGCTAATTATTAGCTCACTGTTGGTGTAAGGAGTGCTTAGGAGGTTGACAGGAAACCGTCTCAGAAGAGCCCACAGGTGCCCTAACGTTTCACTTGCTTTTCTGAACATTCCACCTTTCTTTCTGAATTATGCTCTATGCACATGGCATTGGTGTGAAACATGGGAGAATTAGTAATTATTTCAGTAATGTACCTGAGCTAAAATGACTAAAGCTTTAGGGGACACAGACCATCATGATTTCTACAAAATTGTGAAGTGAATCAATATTTTTGAACATGCGTCTTAGACAGCCAGTGTTATATTTTTTCAGATCAACACAAAGCACAATGGTTACTACTCTAAATATTTTCAAATTCACATATTTAAAGTCATGCAAGCTGCAACTTCCCTGTCAAAATTACTGGCTGTCAAATTTATACCTGTTTCTTCAGCTGTACCTTTTGATATTTAGAGTTTTTAAATTTCTGTAAAGTAGATTTTGTAGACTGCAATGTGTTCATATAAAGCAATAAATATTAATGTTATGAAAAATAGGGCTAATTATCACATTGTTAAGAAAAGTAAATGAGATGTACTAGGTACACTAACTCAATGACACCAAACACTTAAAAAATGGCTGTAAGAGGTGTTATAACAGGTTGTTAGGAATACAGGTTCTAGAACTAGGCTGGTACCAAAACTCACTACATTAAAAGTTACTTTGTTATTTCCATATTGAGGAAATTGGTTAAGTCTGCTAGTGTTTGTCAACTTGACAAGATACCTAGACATCTGGAAAGAGGGAATCTCAAATGAGGAATTGTGTCCATTAGAATGGCCTGTGGGCAAATCTGTGGAGCATCTTCTTAATTAAAAATTGATGTGGATGGTCCAGCTTACTGTGGTTGACACTGCCTCAGCGCCTGCCTCCATGTGGTCCTAAGCTGTAATAAGAAGTCAGGCTGAGTAAATCACGAGGAGCAATCCATAAGCAGTATTCCTCCATGGCCTCTGCTTTATTCTGCATTGTGTTCCCACTTTGACATCCCTCAGTGATGTAAGCTGAAATGAACTCTTTATTCCTCAAGTTGCTTTGGTCATAGTCTTAATCACAGCAATAGAGGGCAAACTAGCACAAAAATAGATACTAGGAGTGGGTTGGAGCTGACCTGAACTTATGAGACATGCTAAGTATGCCATGGATGACAGAAGCAGGTAAGTGAAGCTGCACAATCCCTTTGGGGCCCAGAAGATTGTGACTGAATCACAGATATGGAACACTAGGCTACAGAATTTGATTATACTGCTGGATGGTTTTGCTTTGATTTTTATTGTGACTACTGTGGTTCTTCCCTGTTAATTTCAACTTAATTTTACATAAGTCCAAGGTTGAGAGAATATATTTTAAAGAGAACTTAGGCTTTTAAAGTGTTGAAAATTTAAAGACTATGGGATTTTTAAGGTTAGATTCATTTTTATATTATGATAAACATGAGATCTTGGGAATAAACAAAAGGGAATGGTTATGGTTTAATGATACATTTGTGTGTCAACCCGACATGGGGTCAATTATGCTTGACACAAGGTAGGGTCAGCCTTCTGGCATGGAGAGGGAGGGGATTACAAAGCTTCACCCATCACTAAGGATATGAATGCAGTTAGTTGATAGTTGCTGGGGAAGAGATGTTTTCTTTACTGGTAAGGTACTCGCGTTCCAGTAAATAACCTCCCTCCCATGCTTCTGTAAGCAGTCCTAATTAAACTCAGTAGCTACCAAAGAAAGAAAAGACATGATAATGGAAGGGGGACTGATTGGGAAGAAGGGGACTAGCAGGAATGGGAAGGGAGTAGTAAAGTGTTATGGGATAAATATAATCAAAGTTTTATATATATATGAACAAGAATGTCATGAAAACTACTGAAAACTCTCATCGAACTTCTCAGGATCACTGAATTGTTGTACCTTTTATTTTCCTGCTTTTTTTTGCTTTTAATTATGTATGGCATGTGTTTAAAACTGTGCCTTTGAGGACAGGATCCTGCCAAATTCATACTTCAGGTATGTTGTGTACCAGGGAAATGCCCACTGATAAAGTGCTGAATGAGAGACAAAAGTCAAGTAACTTCTTGAACCCCATACCTCACCACCACCACCACCACCACCACCACCACCACCACCACCACCACCACCACCACCACCACCACCACCACCGATAATAATAATCTCAAGCAACAAAACTGTCAAGATAAATCACTTTTATCTCTACAGGAAAGGGAGATCTAAAAAATATATAAATTACATTAGTAACACAACATAAGAAAAAACAAGGGGAACAAACAACAGAAAAATCTGGATGCTATTCTACCCTATTTATAAAAAGGCCCTGCATCAGAAATCACAATCCTACCCACTTCTAAAAATATATTTAGACATGTACAGAAGCGGTGGGTTTGTTTTTAAATTGTTTGCTTTTTTTGTAAAAATATATTAAAGGTGAATAGAAATCCTCTCTGCCCTCCTATCGTATCCCAGCTCTCTGCTGGGGATTGCAGATTAGAGGTAACTATCTCACCATGTTCTAAACCTTGGTTATTCCCAACTCCTCTCCACCTCACTTCACTTAGAACCTGAAACATAAAAACAAAACAACACAACAACAACAATAACAACAAACACACTAGCTTCTTTGGAAAAGCATAACTCTGAGGGTAAACTTGCTTTTCATTGGAAACAACACAAAACAACAGGAGACTCTGAGAACCCAACTAAACTAAACAAGCCTCATCAGAGGCTGGGTTTCAGCTCCACAGAACCTTCTAACAAAGAAACAGAGGGAAAACGAGGCCTGGAATGGGTGGGGAGAGGGTGCTAGCAATTAGCTGCCTTTGAAAGATCAAGATGGAGTTTCAATGGGTGAAAGGGCTGGGGACCTGTTTTTGCTGACAACAGTCAGGCTTTAGTCTACATAGGGTCAGAGGCTTCTCCTGCTTCCTCCATATTTCCCCACTACTGCCTTGAAATCTCCAAGATAAGCAAAGCTGAGTAGAAAGGAGGGGAGTAGGGACCTCACATGCTAAGGGGGAGGTAGCCAGGCCTTTTGCCTTTGGTGTGACTAAAGGAGAACTGCTTGGCCCCTGGGGTCCCCAAGGTAGAAAAAGCAATATACTAAAGTACCCCTGTTTCCAAGAAGGATGGAAAGGGTGGATCTATAGAAAAAAAAAAAAAAGAAAGAAAGAAAGAAAGGAAGAAAGAAGCACAAACATAAAGATAACACAGAGGCCTCACAAATTCCCTGTGGTCTGCATCATAGCTGTTAAATTCCCCAAAAGCACTAGGCAAGCTGGGGTGAGGACGAGTGGAAGGTAGAAGACACTCCCACTTGGGCAGTGCCAAAATGGGTTTTTTTGGAGGGGGCAGTCTCCATCAAGTCCAGATTGCCAGTAAGGCAAGACAAAAGGGAAGTGGGGGCACTGTCTGGAAAATGGTGACAATCACGAAGGAAAGGAGAAAAAAAGTAGATCAGAAGATCTACTTCCCAGATGGGCATCGTTTCTAAATTCAGACTCGTATCTGCACTAGGCTTGAATGTTGGCCTGTGGTCTGGAAGAGTAAAGGTCCAAAGGTGAAGATTTGAGTCCTGAAGTCTTCTTTAGACTAAGACCTCAGATGGGGAAAGAAGCATGGAGATTCCTGATAAATGACCCTGCAGGGTTAGGTTGTCTCACCACACCCTCTCCATTAGGTCCAGGCTGTGCTTTGTGGTACAGGTGGCAGGAGAAGGCTATAGAGCCAGAGTTATCAATGTGGCAGGTACTTTGGATTTCTAGGAAATGGGTTTGTACCTGCTGGAACCCAGTTATAGCTATGGTGATAATGTCCCACAGGTCCTCAAAATACAGATAAATTCTTGAAGATCATCATGGGGCTTCATGTGCAGTCAGACAAAAGTAGTCTCCTCTGGTGGGCTAGGCAACAGTCATGGTCTGTTTTCCTTCCCACCTTGAAAGGTAACAGGAATCTCCTTTTTTCCCCAAAAGACAAAGTCAGCTTTTCTAGGCCAGCTCTGGAGATGGCCCATAATAGGACAGTAAAGGCCCTCTTCATTTTCCTCATGAAAAGAGGCAAAAGGAGATAAAGACCACAATCTTCTTTCAGGAACAAGACTGAAGGCAGGGCATATCCACCAGATTGGGAGGAAAGGATAGGAAAATGGGCGGAGGTGGTCAGGCTTAGAGACAGGGTTGGATTTGGAGCAAATGTTGAGCATTGGACCTCTCACTTCATGACGAGGAAATTGAAGGGCCCAGACTCCCTTTATGCTGCTCCTCATCATTCATTTCAATATGGAGGAAGGACGGGAAAGAGTACAGACAAGGTGGGAGGGAAATATGTGGGAGGAGCAGGAAAAGGAAGGCAGGGTACTCATAGTGGAAGTGAGAAGGGGAGTTGGGGATAGTCCGTGCCTTTGGTCAGTCCCAAGAAAGCAGGACAATGCACCTTGTCCGGGGCTTATAGGATCCACAAGTGCCCCGAGTTGACAACGAAGAAGGCAATGGGGGTGAAGGGGGTGAAGTAGGACACGGTGGGGCTTGGCTCACAGAAGTAACTTGCCATTTCTGTGGATTTTCAGGATGCGGCCAAGTCTCTGTTTTGCTGTGGCCAGGCCCTTTTTAGGACGCTTTCCTGTAAAGGAAGGGCAAAGTAAGCAGAGGCTTTAAGAGCAACTTTAGTGCCAACTGTGCTTGCACAACCCCCTCCTTTGTTTGTCCCAACAAAGGTTCTTCATCCTTATTCCTAGGGCCAGGAACCCTCCTTAACCACTTCTATTCAATGTCACATGCTTTGTTCTTCCTTCTTTGATAACTGTAACACTATAGTTGTAGTTTTATGGCTCTTTTTCCCCACTGGTTTCTTTGAGTTTAATCAGTTTCCTTAGAAAATTCTGTAAGGAGGTCAATATGCTTCTATGTCATTCATGTTATCCTGGCCACCAGAGTTAGTGACTACATTTCAGTTCCCTAAGGGTGCTATCCTCAGGGTCTTCTTTCATTAGAAACTCCCACGCTAGTCAATCCTAAACATTACACCAAACTTAGTGTTCTTGACTATATCCATACTCCAGGGATTGGCCAATGAGTAGAAAAGGAGGGTATGAATTCTCTCCTCCATGCCTCTGTCTCCCCACATCAAGTCATTTCTCACATCCTACATGATCAAAACCATTATTTCTGTTTATCATCTCTCTCATTACTCTGATCAGATGTGCTATGTTTGTGTTTCTCCAGTTCTTCCTGAATCTATGGAAGTACACACTACCTACTTCTAATCCATCCTCCACTATGACCACCTCTTCATGTCCTATTGAGCTCAAATACAAGCACCTGAAGTTTGGCTTTCAGTGTTCCTTCTTGGTGTCCTCATCTACTAGAGCACTTAAGAATTAGATCAGGGAGCTTTAAGATTGCTCATTTTAATTCCCATTTGGGTCATGTACCTTGTCCTGCCTGACTGCTCTGGGAACCAACTGAAGGACGTCTCTGGGTCAAGAAGACTCCAGGGGCCATGGGTGTGGTGCTTCGATTTGCCTGAGCCATGCCAAAGGCATTGGGACGAGCAGTATACTCATGGTCAGCAAGACTTCCTGACAGAGCCTCTTGTTTAGGCTCAGGAGGTGGCTGGGGTGAGGAGGAAGAGGTGACAGGTTGGGGTGTAGTAGTAGCCAGTGTTGGTGCAGACACGGTAACGACGGCATTGGAATCTTGAGGGCGAGGCTGTTCTGCCTCCTTTAGCAAAGGCTTCTTCTTGATATATTTCTTCTTTTGAGCCTTTTGCAGCTCCTAAAATACAAGCCAAATTAGAAGGGAGATTAAAGAGTGAAGAAAAGAAAAAAAAAAAAAAAAAACTTCCCAGAAAGTAAGGAGATAATGGTCAGTAAGTTTCTGCCACTTCTTTCCCCAATCCTTCTAAATCTGCTTTGTATGGACCTACAACAAAGGCCTTTCCAAAGCCTATGGTAATTTCTTGGTGTCATCTATTCTTAACTCATCACTACCACTTAATAGTACCATAGCAAGAAAACTGTAAATGATTTTGACTTGGGTTTTGGTGAACTATGGGCATTTCTAATAACTAAATTTACACTAGCAGCTTAAGGACTCTATTTACTTTATCTTCTTATTTAATTCTTGTAACAGTCCTAAGGGAAAAGAACGCTTTATTTTACAAATAAAGTGCAAGGCCATTAAGTAACTTAAGCCCAAACCCTCATGGAAAAGTAGTTAGATCTAGTATCTAACCAGCTTGCTAAAGTTCTCAAAATCAACTGGGAGTGTAAAGTGTTAGCTTTGGAATAAGACAAATTTGAGTTCAAACCCAGGGTTCTGTTTCCTAAATTGGATGACTTTGGTTAAAGTTACTAACCTTGCCTGCTTTTCACAGTTGTTAGAAAGCTTAAATAATGACAAAAATATATAACTCATGAAAGGAACTCAGCAAGTAGTTAAATTATTATTCTCTATTTCTTATTGTATCCTTTTTCCTTTTACTGATCTTGTTCTTTAAACAGGGGACTTGCCATTCTTTTAATCACTGAATCTAAACATCTCAATTTGAATGGAATACATGAATATGAAGTTGTGTCACTTCTTCTAGTATCTTGTATTTCATCCACTTATTGCTCTATGGATCTACTATCCATTGTGTAGTAGGTACCTGGATAATGGGCATGTAAAACCTGAGTTCCTTGGTCCTGGGACCATGTGAATAAATTTACTTTCTGAAATGCCACTAAGCCATACATACCAAATTCTATGACTATATTTCTTAGCTTTCTCTTGGTAACAAAAGCCTAAACCTGCCTTCAGAAGATCTGTTATGCTATGGCTATCAGAGAAATTTCTCGAGGAAGAGAATAATGCCATTAGTAATGCATGTCAGGCACTGTTCTTTAATTATTCACTTAATACTTTTAGGGATGAGAAGAATTATACTCCCATTCTAAGGATAAGACTACAGCAACAATTCTAAGTTATTTTCCTCTGGTTTACGTGCATTTGTGTTTGCCTGAATGTATATGTATGTGTGTGTGTGTGTGCAAGATCCTCTAGAACTGGAGTTATAGTTATGAACTACCATGTAGGCATTGAAAATTTAACCCAGGTCCTTTGGAAGATCTCTCCAGTCCTAAGTTATTCGAGTGAGTATGGGAGGTGTGGTGCCATGACACAAGTGTTAAGGTCAGAGGACAACTTGCAGGTTTAGGTTCTCTTCTTGTACCCTGAGTATCCTGGAATCAAAATTAGGTCATCATGCTTGGTAGCAAGTGCCTTTACTTGCAGATACATCTTTCAGGCCCCAGAATCAACTTTTTTGTTTTCGAGTCAGGGTTTCTCTGTGTAGCTTTGGAACCTATTCTGGCACTCACTCTGTAGACCAGGTCGGTCTCGAACTCACAGAGTTACTACCTCTGCCTCCCAAGTGCTGGATTTAAAGGCATGTGTCACCAACGCTTGGCTCCTTCTCTTCTTCTTTTTTAAAGATTTATTTATTATGCATGCAATGCTCTATCTGCATGTATTCTCTGCAGGCCAGAAGAGGGCACCAGATCTCATTACAGAAGATTGTCAGCCATCATGTGGTCACTGGGAATTGAACTCAGGATCTCTGGAAGAGCAGCCAGTGCTCTTAACCTCTGGGGCACTCTCCAGCCTCGCTCACATTGGCTTCACTTCTTAACTATTACTTATTATACTCATGTCAGAACATGAAGTCTCCAATCCGGAAAAATCTCATTCACTCACCCACCCACTCCAACATTGATTTAGCATGTGTGGTTATTAAAATGAGGATAACAAATGAAATACATTCATACTAATAAAGGATGTAAAATGTCCTTATGATCCTAAGTACTATGAGATAATGCACTATGAGATAATGCAATACAGAAGTATAGATGAAGATCAAAGAAATAAAATGCTGATGTGAATGGGCAGAAGAAATGGCTTATGCTAAACCCATGAAGGCATGTGGTACATAGGTTAAATCATGAACACTGTAGTGGAGTACAGTTGACAAAGGATGTATACTTGATGGCAAGTCAGGGGTGATTAGAGAGAAGTCACTATAGAATACACAAAAGTGGGCAAGGAGTAATATTTTTCCTGGAATGCTTCCCTGTTCCCCAATCCTCCCCAAATGTCTCTAATACCACCCCCAACTTTAAAGTCTCTTTGAAGTAATTCCATCAACCCAAATATTAGTTCCTCCTTAAAAAGCACTAAGAGTAGTTTCACACTTTTGCTTAAAGTAATAGAAAACCTTTATTTATTAGTTACATCTTATGTGGCACTGATAAATGACATGGAAAAATTTTAGTCAAGGAGGAGCCACTTGACTTGCTTGATTTCTGCTGGCTCCCAGTTAATAGTCTCTAGGACATTTTTAGAAACTTTATAGCTCTATATAACCATATGAAAAGTAATTCTTAAAGTTTACTTATATTGGATATAATTAATAATAGATATAAACATTTAGCTATTCCACTTTACTGAAAAATCAAGTAGCATGAAACCAGAAGTTAGAGGATATGAGTTTGAATCTTGTCTCCTCCAATTACTGGCTGTCTTATCCTGGAGTGAGCCTCATAGACTCAAGACTACTGGACATATTATATAGACATTGTACATAGGTATGTCTAACATTAAGCAAATGCTCAATAGTGCTCTAAGCTATAAGGAGTGTGGTATGAGGTGCTATGTGGACACTACTGAAGAACCAAAAACTTCATCTCCAAATGTTCCTAGGGTTTCTACATGTTAAAACACATTGTAAACTAATGCTAGGAGGTAAAAATGATTCAGTGAAGGTGACCTTTTTGGAAGAAAAATGGTGAATACTGTTCTCTTGAGAAGCAGGGGATGAAGATCCGGTAATAATGTTTATAAAAGGCCAAATTCCACTACTGGTGGGTGACTCAAAACTTAAATGTACTCAACTGAGTCACTTCCTCAGGACTAAATTTAATGGCAAATGACGATCTAGTCTTTTTTATCTGAAGATAATGCAATGTATTTTGATCATATTCACCCCTAACTCCCCTACCCTCAAAGCCTCAGATTTTCCCCAATCATGTTTCCCTCCCAACTTCATATCCTCTTTATCTTTTAAATAAGCCACCGATTCAAATTAATGCTGTCCATTATACATGGGTATGGGGCATGCATGGCCTACCACGGACCACACCTGTAAAAAAAAACAAAACAAAAAACCCTGACCCTCCCTCTCCATCTGTGGGGATTTTATATACTTAGAAGAGTAAGTCATATCAACAAGGACACTTCTCTGGCCCCCCTTTTCATCCTAAGTCATGTCAAGTATGTAGCCTATGAAAGTAGCTTGTCATAGAGCTGTGATGTAAAGGATATAAGAGGGGCTGGGATACTGCCAGCAGGATCCTACCACCTAAAGGTCTGAATTGTGAGGCTCTAAGTTATCAGTAGCAAGGTCACAGGTTGGGTATCAACACTTACCTGCTGGGCAAGCTTTGCAGCTGCTGCAGCCAAACCTGTCTCAATAGAGGCCACTCGGGTGCCCTCACGAACAGGACGATCCTGCTTGGGCAGAGTTGGAGTCACACGGGCTGCAAGGAAAACAGGATGTTATCTATTTGTCAAATATATCCCCCAACTTCTGACTACCCCCAAAGGTGGTTGTATTGATTGATCTTCTTGCTTCTAGCTTTTCACAAAATCCTATTTAATGACCAAGGCACACACGAATACAAATTAATCCCCTTGAACTGCCATTTATAGTTGTTCATGTGCTTTTTATGTTCTTGTTGTTCCTGGCTTGCCTACTTTCCCAACCTTGTTTCTGTACCTACTGCTATGGTTTGAATGGCCTCTCCAAATTCATGTGGAAATTTAGTTATCATTTAAAGGGAGAACCTTTTTTGTCGGTTTTTTGAGACAGGGTTTCTCAGTAGCTATGGAGTCAGTCCTGGAACTCACTCTGTAAACCAGGCTGGCCTAGAACTCACGGAGATCACCCTGTCTCTGTCTCCCAAGAGCTGGGATTAGAGGTGTGCACAACCACTGCCAGGCTAGAAGGAAGAACCTTTAAGAGGCAATTAGGTCATGATATCACTGTAGGAGTGAATTATGTTCTTCCCCCACCCTTTTACCATGTGATTTCTTCTACCTATAGGACAATTTAGCATGGAGGCTTTGAACCATGTCAGCATCATGCTCATAGATTTTCCGGCTTCCAGAAACATGAGAAAAATAAACTTTTATTTAGAATTTCCCAGTTGTGATACTCTATTATAGCAGCAGAAAACAGACTAAACACCCATATTTTCTGTTACTCCAGACTGATGGCTTCCTTATTACACTCCCATAGGATGATACTACACCTTCCTTCCTTCCATACTCATACTTACCTTCTGAACTGCGTAGAGAATATATTTTTCTTTTTTCCCATTTGAAAGTAATCTACCCCTCAAAAGTATGATATAAAATCTCTCATAGGAAAGGAGATCTCAATAATCTTTTCTCTCTCAGAATTTATAATCTGGGCAAGTAACTTGATATGTAGTACATACTACCTATTGGGGATTATTATTTTATATATACCAACCAAAAAATGAGTTCTTAAAGATCATGGCAAAACTTTTTAAAATAATATTTAAAATAATATTTAAAAAGAAACTGTTACCTGTTTATGCTTTTCAATAAGCATATTCTAGGAGAAACAAATATCCTCAGGTAAGAAAGAAAGATTTTCTTTACAAACAAATCCCATCTGGGGCTGAAGAGATAGTTCAGTAAAGTGCTTGTTGTGCAAGCCTGGGGACCAGACTCAATCACCAGCACCACATAAATTAAAGAACAAACAAACAAACAGAAAAATAAGCATTGATAATGAATACTTGTAGCCTCAGTGCTGGGGAGGCAGAATAAGGAGGATTCAATCAGCAAGCCCCAGGTACTAGTGAGAGAGCCTATCTAAAAAGATGATTAGGAGGTTGGCTCTTCAGGAAAAAGCACTTGCAACACAAACTTGACAACCTGAGTTCTGTCCCTAGAACCCATATAAAGGTGAAAGGAGATAACTAACTCCTCAAGTGTGAAGACCAGAGTTCAAATTCTCAGAACCCACATAGGGTCAGATGGAGTAGTGTTTGTCCTTGATTCCAGTGCTCTTAGAGAAAGATAGGTCAAGTGTTCTGGGGTACGCAGCAGCAAATGACAAAAGATTTTTGCCTCCCACAAAGTGGAAAGCAATGACGGACATAGCCCAGTATGAATGACCAAGTGTCTCCCCAGCACTGGGATTATTAGTATGCATCATTAATGCTTGCTTTTGTTCTTTAATTTATGTGGGTGCTGGTTGTTGAGCTCTGGTCCTTATTCTTGCATAGACTTAGCAATTTCCTCATTCATGCTGAAGTTCTCTTGACATTCACACTTATGCTATGCATATATACCATGGTATATTTGTGAAGGTCAGAGGATAATTTGTGGGAGCCAGTTCTTTCCTTCCAATATGTGGGTCCTGGAGAGCAAACTAAGGTTGTTAGGTGTGGTGCCAAGAACCTTTATCTGATGAGTCATCCCAAATGGTCCTATAACATACTTTTGAAAGATAAGCATGTTTTGAATAGCCAGACAAAAGGAAACAACCATTAAAACATGTACCCAAACACATATGAACATACACAGGCAGGAAGTCAGGCAGGCAGGCACACATACACACAAGAATGCCAGTTTACAAATGTAGAATGAATGATAGACCTAAAAAATCCGAAGTTTGCAAGTCCTAATGAAACATTTGGTTCTAGAGAATTGGATATTTGCATAGTACTAAGTATTAAGCTACTCCCAAAAATGTTGGCATATGCCTTTAATCCCAGCACTTGGGAGGCAGAAGCCAGGAAGTTCTCTGTGAACTTGAGGCCAGCCTGATCTACAAAGTGAGTTCCAAACAGTCAGGACTGTTACACAGAGAAACCCTGTCTCAAAAAGCATGCCCACCCCCCCCAAAAAAAAAAATAAAAAAGCTACACTTTTGAGATTGAGAGAGCACCAACTTTTGGGTTTTTGTTTGTTTGTTTACAAACGTAGCCCTGGAACTTGCTATGTAGACCTGGCAGGCTATGCTCAAACTCACAAAAAGCCACCTGTCTCTCTCTGTGTATGGATATTAAAGGCAAAATCCTCCACACCCAACTCCAAGTATGAATTTTCATATTATTAGTGACAAATATAGTGAAACAACATAAAACCATGTGGAAATAGCCAATTCACAGCATTATCTGAGTTGTTAAGAAATTATAAGCAAGCAAACTATTCATAGTATTTTGAGAGTTTAAAAAAGACAAGGACAGAAATGATGCCAAGAGAAAAAGGAATATTTTACACAAATAACCCAGTCTCTCAAAAAGCAGCAATGTCACACAAAAACAAATAGATGGATCTAGATGATTATATTGGTTAGAGTGATTTAAAAAACATGACAGTCAAATGCCATATGGATTTTGTTTAGACTCCATTTTAGATCCATTAAATACACAATGTTTTGATCAAACAACACTCACAAGTTGTTCATGTGCTTGGAATTAGAAGCTGTCATGTAATTAATGAATAATCATTGATTTTGTTATATATAGCAGGACTATGGTTATGTGAGAAAAGTACAGGAGGAAATGACAATTTCTGGGATGTGTTATAAAAGTCCTTGGTTGGTTAGTTACTGCCACATGCACTTTGTTAAGCTGGTTATGCAGGAGATTGAAATTAATTTTTTTTGTTTCTCTGTGTAGCTTTGGAGTCTGTTCTGGAACTCACTATGTAGATCAGGCTGGCCTCAAATTCACAGAGATGCATGTGCCTCTGCCTCCCGAGTGCTAGGATTAAAGACGTGCACTACCACCAACAGCTGAAATTAATTCTTTAAGGGTGATATTTTGTCTGTTTAAAACATGATCTAAAAGCAAAGCCAGCAAAAATACTAACACATAACTGTGTTTTACAGATATTGGGGCATCTTAAATATTCCTCTACAGTCTACAGTAGTGCTTTTAAAATATGACCATAGTTAGGGATGTGGCTCAGTTGGAAGAGTGACTGCCTAGAATGCATAAGGCCCTGGGTCCTCTAATACCTCCTAAAACCAGGTGTGGTTGTACAGCCTCTAATTCTAGCACTCAAGAGGTAGAGGCAGGAACATTATAAATTCAAGGTCATCCATAGCTATATAATGAGTTCACAGCTACCCTGGGAAACAAGATGCTCAGCCTCCAAAAAAAAAAAAAAAAAAACCCACACATCTTTTGAAACATTTGTCTCTAAATCCGAGATACTGTCCATACAGGGGAGATCTGGGCATGAACTTTTATAGTGTTTCTATTTTTTATTTGATTGAGCCTTGGCCAGCACAGGCATAGGCATCACAGGGACCTAGAAATAGGGTAATTGCAGACGGAGAATGAACAATTTTTATTTTCCCCACTGCCTTTACATATTATTTAGCTAGCTACTAGAGATAGCATTTCTTTGATAATACAACTGAGAAAAAATGGAAAATAGTAGGAATTACATCAGAAATTGGTGAAAGGAGAAATAGAAATTGGGTTGATGAATTGAGAAATGTGGTAAAAATTCTTTGAGACAAGGTCTCACTATGTAGACCAGACTGACTTCAATCTCACCATGTAATCCAGGGTAACCCTAAATCTGCAATACTTTATTTTCTGAGACAAAAAGCCTTACTATATAGACTTGGCTGGCTTGAAAACTACTATACAGATCAAGCAGCCTCAAACTCAATATGCCTGCCACTACTTCCCAATGCTGAGATTAAAGACATATGCCTGGCAAAAATAATTTTTTTGATTTATTTATTTAGTTTTGGTTTTTCAAGACAGGGTTTCTCTGTGTAACATCTAGCTGTCCTGGAACTAGCTCTGTATACAATTATTTATTCTGTGGAGGGGTCAAAGAAAAGTTTGCAGAAATCAATTCTCTTCTACCATGTGGGTTCTAGGGATTGAACTGAGGTTATCAAGCCTGGTGGTATGTACATGCTGAGCCATCTTGAAAGCCCAAACTTTCAAGCATTTGATCCTTCTACCCCACTTCTCTTGGGCTAGGGCTGCAGGCTGTGGTACTTAAATACTAGTGAGTTGGGAAGCATCTACCAGGAAAAATAAAAGCTATGATGCTGCCTTTGAGGAATAGAGTTGAAAGTAGAAAAAGCAGAATGGGCACTGCTGTTCAACCTAAAATCCTCCATATTATTTTATTTGCTACACACACTACTTTTGATTAAAAAGCAAAAAAAGTATGACGTTTTATTATACACAGTATTATTTTAAACCTCCCTCCCTAGTTCTGGGGATGAAACCCAGGGTCTCACATGATAGGTAAGTACTCTACTACTGAACAACAGTCTCACCCCCTATAGTGTTATTTCAACAAGAAAAAGAAAAAAAAATGATAGAAAAGCAAAACACTAGAAGGAAATGTCAAAATGTTAACAGTGGCTGCTTCTGAATGGTAACATCCTGGATATCTTACTTCTTCATAATTTTCTTTACTTTTACTACTTTTCACATTTTTCTAGTACACTAGTCAAAAGTTTTTATCTTCATAGAAGAAACTAAAGGTTACAACTATAGGAATAAATAGAGAAAATAATCCTGATTTTTGTATACTGCTGATTCACTCATTAAACACATTCCAAGAATTACAAAGATCATAAACTTAGCCATGCAATTTGCTGTAGACAATAGGAAACATGACACAGTAGAAGCTTGAAAAGTATGTGTATATTGAGGTTTATTCTTTCTTGCTGCTGGAAATTCCATTGCCTTTCTTTGAAAAATTCTGGACTGGCCTCATGGAGGATAAACAAGTGTGTGGAAAAATGACATAGCTATCTTTATGGTACCTAGTCTAAAATCAAGCTGTCTGAGATTGCATCTTAACCAAGCTACAGAATCATGAGACATGGTAAATATTCTTGTAGGCCATTAAGGTTTGGGTAGTTTGTTTAGCAGCAAAAGTACCATGGGCTGGGGGAGATAATTCAATAGCTAAAGCACTTGCCACATAAGCACGAGAACTGGGTTTGGATCCCCAAACTCATGTAAAAATGGCTGTGGTAATGAGCATCCCAGAATGCCCACAGTGAGATGGAGGCAGAAACAGAAGAATCCCTGGAAGCAGGGTGTATTGCAGCACTGAACAAGAGACCCTGCCTCAAACAAGGTAGAACACAAGGGCCCAAACCTGAAGTTGTTCTTTCAAGTCTACATAAACACAACTGCATGCACATATGAACAATCACACACAAGTGAACACATACACTTAAACATCCCACATAGAAACATATATTATACATATTCAAATTTTAAAAAGCTCCCAAATGCTTAGGTGCAAACAGCCCAATAAGTTTGATGAAGAAAATTATTATTTTTAAAAATATCTCTCAAAATTCTATGTTGAACTCAGTGACCCATTTTCCCTCTCTTCCTTCCCTCCCTTAGTGATGATTTATCAGTAGGTGATAATCTTGAGATTCTTAAAGAGACCAAGAGTCAGCAAAATTTTCCTCCTTGGAAACAAAATTACCATGGGGAGTTGGGATGATGGCCACCTGAATGTTCTTAGAAGCCCTAGATGGCTTATTGAATTTTTCCTGGTTTCCTTCATCTCAAGCCATATGACATCAAAATAACAGCTATGAGTTTCCTGGGTAGATTACATAAACTGTGTCACACAATCATTTTAGCTCTGGAACCTAACATGATAGTAAATGTAACAGATGTTTTTTGACTAAGCAAATGAATGACTGAATAAGACCTCCTTGTACGTATTTCATACTTTATTTTTTTTTTCACCTGATCGCACCTGCAGAGTTTAAGATACAGATACTAGATTACCTTTTGGACTCCATGGAGCATCATCTGAATTCTTCTTTTTTTTGGGTCGCGATTTCAAAGCAGGGTCATCATCATCAGACTCCAGGGATGGATAGACTGTAGGGAGAGATGAAAGCAGGAAAAAATGAATTCTTATCTAAAATGGGAATGATAGAATGATACATACTTTAGTCCTTCGCTACTCCTCTTCAAGTATACTCATTTACTTATTCCTCAGTCAACTGCAGAAGGTCCCTAAATATCTCACATTTTGTGTCTTTCCTATGTTATCAAAGTCCTTTTCCTACATTCACCCAACTCTGATTTATTTGGATACATTACTTGGCTCACCTTTGTAAAATTTAGCCCTAGATTTAGCCCTGTAAGACGCTTTTACCTCCCTCTTGTAATCTGATTCAGATTCTTCCTTCTCAGTTCTCCATAGCAACCTGCATTATGCTCGCACTGGAGATGCTTTATTGTACTTAGAAACTGATTGTTATATCTGCTGCCTCTAATTACAAATGAGGCCAGGGATGTGTGTTTGATTTTATATTAAAGCAGTCCCATACAATGAAGAATGGGTATTTATTGTTTGTGAAATGATAGGAAAACATAAATAGCACACACTTAATACATATAAAAACATTTAAATTGAACTGGGACCAAGATTAGTGGAACTGTATGATCTAACTGATAAAATACCCACATACAAGTATACTTTACAGAAACAAATACAAGTATGCTGAATATCACAAAATCCATTGGCAATTCCTCATAATCCATAGGCAAGACAATTAGGATTTAATGGGAATATGGTCTAGAAAGATCCTACTGATGAAGGAAAATTCTGATGCCACTCCCAAGCCTAGAAGAGAATTTTAGTAAGAACCTCGTAAGAATGCTCCTCCTACTTCTTTCCAGAGGGCTTCTCTACAGAAAAGTGAGTCTATTTTTTGGACCTTCAGTAAAGAGGTAAAAACTTTGCCTCCTGACCCTATTTTCTTTCAAGAAAGGAGGATTCAGTTGTTCTTAGATAGGACTGAGTCTAATAACACAGCTTTTTTAGGAAAAGCCATCAATATTACTTTGCAGATCTGAAAGTTTTTCTACTCCAAAGGAAATAAGTATGGTATAACAGAAAGACTTGGTACCTTAGGGTCAGAAAACTACTTTGAAATATTGGATGACACAGTAGTGGCCTAAAAACAGTTTCAGAGTCTTAACCCATAAAATCAAAATAATAGATAATGTCTAACCTTGCCTTATAAAGTTGTGTTCAAAAGATGTATTTAAGAAATGACATGTGGAAGATGGCTCAATAGGTAAAAATGCTTGTTGTGCCATCCTGGCCACTTAGGTTTGGTTCCCAGAACCCACATAAGGTGGGAAGTTCTTCATAAAGGGCTACATAAAGTTGTCCTCTGACCTCCATACATGCTATGTCATGTGCACCTACCCATACATGATAATATTTTTTTAAATTTACTAAGAAGAGATATATAATGTATAAAGTAAGTTACATAAGGAATTCCATTTTTAGTTTCACATTTTAATCAATAGGTAATAAGGTATAGATTACAAATTAAGCCTATGCATTGAAAGAAAATATATTTAAATATGCATATTAAAATACAAGGTTGAAGCCACTTCTGATTTTAAAACATATTACTAAACAATAGTAATTACTCAACAATAGTAACTCAGTGTGCAACTGGCATAAAGACAGGTATAAGAACCAATGAGAAATAATATTCTTTTGCTTTTTGGGACAAGGTCTCACTTTGCTGCCAAGGCTGACCTCAATTATCAAATACCTCTGCCTCCTGAGTGTTGGGATTACAGATATAAACCACCATGACCAGCTCTCACTAAGATTTTAGTACCTGTTTTCTTTTTTATTAATACTTTTAGTTGCCATACAAAATAATGGGTTATGGTATTTTATGCATATATCACTGTATACTGCACATATGACTCTCTACCCTCCCTTAGCTGTTCTCAGTAGCAATAAGCTCTAAAAGACAAAAATAATACAAAGCATCTTCTCCAACTACAAAAAACTACAAATCAATAACAGAAAGATAAAATGAAAATTCCAAACTAGGTGGAAGTTACATGTACTCAAAAAGAATCAAAGAAATAATCAAAGACTTTGATATGGGATCAGTAAAATGGGCAGTGGATAAAGATGCCTACCACCAAGCCTGAAGATATGAGATTAACCTCTGTGATCTACGCTGTGGAGGGAGAAAAATCAACTCCCACAAATTGTTCTCAGACCTTCACACATATATAAGACTCTGCAAAACAGTGCACAGACAGCAATTTAAACCTGCAAATACCTACACTTGAAAAGATGAAAGATCCTAAAACAATAGCCCACCTTTACACAAAAAGTATTATTAAGTCTCCTATCAGCCACTGCCGCCATCTTCATACCCACAGGCCACAGTTAACAAAAGAGCTTTCTTTGCCTGATGACTACATCCCCCCCACTCCCATCCATCCCTTTGCATAGGCCTAGTGACTGTGACGGGGAGGTTAGTGCCTCTCCTTTAAGAACATCTTCCTTTTCCACTCTCATCTCCACAACCACAGGCCTAACTCAAAAACCACAGCTCCAATACCGGCTTTACCTGGCCTATGTCCAATCCAGCAGCTCATACATACACACATCAGTTTTTCCTAACCTAGTTCTGAACACATAGTTCCTGAACTGGACAAATCTAAGGAAAGCTAAACTCTCACACACAATCAAAGAAGTTCACAAGTCCAGTTCACACTGAAAAACAACATGAAAGACCAAAACAATATATGTCCCATAGAACACACTAGTCAAATGTTCTCCATAGAGAACTATTTAGTTAAATCCTAGGGCATAGAATTAAAAAACAATAATAACATCATTAAGGAATTCAAGAAGTGTAAAAGAAGATACAAACACCTCAATGAACTTCAAGAGAATAACAACACATACTTGAGTGATGTTCAACAAAATACAAATAGAAAACTGAATGAAATGATGAAGACAATTCAGGATTTAAAAACTAAATTGAGTAATGAGATAGAAGCGTTGGAGACAACTCAAGCTGAAATGAAAATGGAATTGACAAACTCAATGACCTGACCCTTAATACTCAGTCACTATTCCTAGCCCAGCTCTATTCCTTTGTAACTCACTGATAACCCTCAGAACCCTTTCTACTAGGAACACCAAAGGCACCACACTTGGCTGTGACCCAGGTAGACCACCAGTAGACTATTCTTTCCCCTCCACCATTTCTATTCCTTCTCCTGTGCTTAGCTCCCTCCTTCCAGTTCATCTCCATTCCCCTCAGACCTGTGACCATCTGTAGACAGATTCAGAGTATCCTTAGTTCTGCTTCTGCCACCCTTTGAGAAGCCAGACCCCAAGTCCTAATTAAGAGACTTCCAGATCCGTGGAAAGGCTACCATAAATGTCCTTCCCGGATAGTGAGATCAACAACTAACTTATCCATGGAGCCCTCATCTAATGCCTGTTGGAAATAGGAGGAAACATCCATACATAAACACTGAGTCGAAGTAGAACCCAGATGCAGATGGAGAGGACAAGACCAGGTGGCAGAAACACATAGAGACAGCTTACCTGAACAAGGAGGAGCTAATGGGCCACCAGACTGACAGCTGGGAAGCCAGCATGGGACTGACTCAGGGTCCCCTGAATATGGGTCTCAGCCAGAAGGACTGAGCAGTCTAAGGGACCTCAGACAGTGGAACCAGGATGTATCCCTGATGCACAAAAGGACCTTGTGGACACATCCCCCATGGAGGGATAACTGCCTTAATCTAGAGACAGGAGAGAAGCCCTAGTCCCTACTTCACATGACCTGTCAGAGCTACATGACCCCAACTGGATGGCATTTCCCTACATATGGAATTGGGGTGGGGGGATGGGAGGGGAGGGTGGTTAGGGTGCATGTGAGAGGGCAGAGAGGGTAAAAGGGAGGGAGAACTGGGATCGACATGTAAAATAATAAAGTAAATAAATAAAAATGCTTTGACTCCAAAATTTAAGTTCAAGGACAAGTTACTGGGGGGAAAAGCTGTGGTTTGATCTCGCCAGACTGCCTGAAACAGAGTACCAGGTGATCCTACATTCAAAACAGCTGGACAAAGCAGCCTTGCAGACTACAGCCAGGATTTCTGCATTTTCTTAGAATCCCCCATGACAGCGTCCCTTACCAGCAGGAAGTAGTTTGGAAAGAACGACGCCCAAATTCCCAAAGATTGTCAATAAATGTTTGTTTTCATTTAAATGGACTTGGTTATATAAAATAAATAAAAAAAGTCATCACACACTATAAGTAATGAAGTGAAGGTATCTTACACTATAGGGAATGTAACTTCTTCCCATCTTCCCACAGTCTCTGTGAGTTGCTCTTTAATATCACTCATTCATGCCCTTAACCATTATCAGAAAAACATTGTTACCATTATTCTGTTAAGAATAAAATTGCCTTTAGACAATTGAAATTAAGAAAAAAAATACATGTTTAGCTCCTTAACATTGTGTGTGTGTGTTGTATGTGTATGTGTGTAATAGATAAGTTTACGGAGAAAAATATATTTCAACTACATCTTTAAAATTATACATGTATAATAGATATAAATTTTGAGATATATTTGATAAGTTGTAAGGTGTTTAAAAATATTTCTTCATAGCTGGTTGGTAGTGAGTAATTTCCATTTTGGTGATAAGACTTCCAGATTATATCTTTTTCACTTTAATGACTGTTATTAACTACAGAATTGTTTTTTGGTGATATAATCTTTACTTTGATCATTTACTATTTTGACCCACTTTCTTCTGACTTGTATATTTTCTGATGAGAAGTTTAACATTAATTATATTTGCTTTTTCTCTATAGTTAAGCTCTGTATTTTTGTTTTACTTTTAAACTGACTTATTAAAATATTTTACCTGCAATGTTCTGTATTAAGCATTTTAAATACAACATATTTATATTTAAAAAAAAGAGAGAGACTTCCAGAGTCAGTCTCTATCCTGTGCCTGTAAAACTCTACTTCAAATGGATTAAGGACCTAAACCATAAGTCGCATTAAAGGAAAAC